CCCCAAAACCCCAAAACCCCAAAACCCCATAAAAGGTTATAAAGATTGTTAAATTTAATCAGTCAAAATTAAGAAATGAATGACAAAGATAAAAGAAGTCCAAAGAAGATTATTAAGACTAAGATCAGGTTGATCAGCTCCATCAATATGCATCTAACAAAGGTTCTTCCAGTTGCTTACATGAATTTAGACAATATATGCTCCACTCATATCTCACTGCAAAGGGATTACCCCAATTCACATTAACAGTTTAAAACAAGACTCTGAGCCAAAACATCTAGACAAAACTCTAAGTGTCTAAAACAATTTCAGTACTTAATAACCTAACACCCATTCACATTACCCCAAAATGATTCATGGTACAAGATTTACTAAATTCTACCAAAACCAGACTTCCAAATGATGAAGGATAAACTTCTGAGAACAAGCTAAGAATAATGTTTGATATCTTTTTAGCCATAATTCATTCTCTATTAAGTCTATAGCAGTTTATAACTGGCAAGCAAACCTTAAATAAATCTTTGAATTTGTCTTTCTAAAGGGATCTCCATGTCATCTGAAAGTATTAGTTTAAGTACTATTGCTACAAAACCTTTGCTATTGTTTGCTAAATCATAATTCATTTCATCTTACTCTTTGCATAATGAAAATGTACTAGCCTGAGCTTAGAAAAGGCCTTATTTATATTCCTAAAACGAGTCTTGAAGAGAGGCAAGAAGGGAAAGGTACTAAAAGGAATCAGAAATTAATCAAGGTATTTACACTACTAAAAGAACAAAATATATGCTCCTTTCTCCCAAGGAATTGCATCAGAGAAGATTCGAATTCAGATTAAAACAAAACATGTATAGAATTTCCTATGCCTGCATACTCCAAGTCAGTTATGTCTGAGGGTAAGTATCTGCTAATTTTGGTGGGCATACTCTATCTTTATTGTATCCTGACTCTTGTAAAGATCTTTTACAGATAGAGAAACTCAAATAAAAGAGTTATTATCATTTGATTGAGATCACCAAAGAGATAGAGCAAGCAATTGGTCTAATACTTTAAGAAAAGGATAAAATATAAATTGACATTTAAAATAACAACATTGAGCAAAACAGGGGAATTTTTAAAGATAATGTCTGTAGGCAGAAGGAAAATTAAAAACGCTAAAAATGCTAAGCTGATCTTACTTCAATATTTGGGAAACCCATAACTGTAGCCCAAAGCAAAGCAGCTTCTGGCTACTAAAAGTTACTAGAGATTGATAAGAAAGGGAGTTGTATATGGTGACTGGACACAGAATAAAGAAATAATGGAGAGAAATAAATGCAAACTCGATAAAGTTCAAAGAATTTTCATAATATTTGTCTAAAAATTCTTAAATTAATAATTTAAGAGCTCGAATCTTTGGTAACCTTCTGATTAAAAAGTTTATAATAACAGTATGATTAGTTGAGAAGACGCGAATTTATAGAACAAACTATGGCTTCTGTTTCCATCTATTTGACTCAAAAAGTGCTGAAATGCTTTTAAAGACATCAGAGTTTTTCAAGATTTGATTTCAGTCTAATAACATTCGACTGCTAAGAATTTCCTTCAAACTTTAGAAAATTACAATTTTTAAATTAGCTTAAGAGATTTATTCTTCTAGTAAATATTCGTTATAATCCTGGTCCCTGAAATGGAAAGTCTCTAAGCACTTGACACATTATCACCAATTAATACTGAATGAAACCTCTAAAGATTACTCTAAATTTCAAAACAAATCCCTAATTCCATCAATGAGAGGCGAATATTTCTGAGATGGACAAAAGCTACTATTTAAATATCTCACAAAGCTAAACATTTCATTTCCTTCTAAATACAGTGCAAATTATATTTCAGGGTTGAGGTACATTATAAAAAATAATTTGAATTTTATCTTCGACCAAAGATTTTCTCGACATGAACTCAACTATTAAAATCGACATAGGTCTTCTGAAGCATAGAGTGGTGGAAACAAGCAATAAAAAATTCTAAATGCTTAGAGATACACCTCAGTTTTGTTCTAAACAAAAAACTCTTGAACTATCCTGACGATCGTCTTTAGATATCTATTCATCTAATATTCTAGTTCTGCAACAGTCTCCTTATAAAAGGATCTTTGATATCTATTATTTCAACTCTGTTGTTTTTAAATTTCTGTCTCTTCTATTATTGTTAATAGGATAATTCCGACTATCTTAAACTATCTACCTGAAATTTCAAAGCTCTTACTGATTATAATATAGAGTCTTAGGACGAACATCCTCAACCTCATCGATGGCTTAGCACCAATATCTTTGTTAGTATCTTTAAGTGTTTCTTAACTAGGGCATCTCTAGATCCTGACCATACGAACTCTCTTAAGCTAATTCAAATAACTCCAGAATTGACAATCATCTCCTGCTTGTGCTACCACAATATTTAAGCCCTAGGATAAACTACATTCAACTCTTTATCAAGGATTGATGCAACTTCATATTTTAAATATTAATATAGTTAGTCGACATTTTTAGATGTTAGGTGGGGTTTTGGGGTTTTGGGGTTTTGGGG